TCATATGGAACAATAAAAGACCCTGAATAGTAAAAATGATCCTTAACAGAAAGAACAATGCTGGAGGAATATCAATACCAAATTTCAACCTCTACTACAAAGCCATAGTAATCAAAACAGCTTGGTACTGGCACAAGAAGAGACCTCAGGATCAATGGAATATAATTGAAAACCCAGAAATGAACCCACAGACGTATAGCCAACTAATCTTTGATAAGGGAGCCAAAAAATTAGAATGGAAGAAAGGCAGCCTCTTCAGTAAATGGTGCTGGCAAAATGGGTTAACCACCTGTAGAAAACTAAAGCTAGATCCCATATATATCACCTTGAAAAGAATTAACTCCAAATGGACCAAAGACCTCAAAATCAAAGCAGACACGCTGAAAACATTACAGGAAGGAATAGGACAAACACTAGGGTTCTTTGGCACAGGCCAAAATTTTTTTAATAAACACACAAAAACACAATAAATCAAAGAAAGGTTGGATAAATTGATTGCATGAAACTTCACAGCTTCTTTCTGCATGGCAAAGGACATAGTTATCAAGATCAATAGAAAGCCCACGGATTGGGAGAAGATCTTCACTGGCCATACAAAAGATAAGGGCCTCATATCTAAAATATACTTAGAACTCAAAAAATTAAATCCCCCAACCGACAAATCCTCAAAGGAATAATCACCCCATTAATAAGTGGACTAATGACTTAAAGAGAGACTTCTCTGAAGAGAAAATAAGAATGGCCAATAGACACATGAAGAAATGCTCAACTTCTCTAGCCATAAAAGAAATGCAAATCAAAACACCATTGAGATTCTACCTCACCCCAGTTAGATTGGCTATAATCAAGAAATCTAATGACAACGGATGCTGGAGGGGATGTGGTCAAAAGAAAATGCGCTGTTGGTGGGAGTGTAAACTTGTTCAACCACTTTGGAAAGCAGTATGAAGGTTCCTCAAAAGACTACATACAGAGCTCCCCTATGACCTAGCAATCCCACTTCTGGGCATTTACCCAAATGATTACAAACAAGGCTATGCTAAAGCTATTAGCACAACTATGTTTATTGCAGCATTCTTCACCATATATAAGATATGGAGCCAACCCTGATGCCCCACAGTAGATGAATGGAACAAGAAAATGTGATGTGATGTGTGTGTGTGTGTGTGTGTGTGTGTATAATGGAATTCTATGCCTCCATCAGAAAGAATGGCACTTCCCCACTTGCTAGGAAATGGGAAGACTTGGAAAAAATCATATTAAGTGAAGAAAGCCAGACCCAAAGAAACATAGGTCCCATGGTTTCCCTTATTTGCAATAACTAGTATATATGTCTAGGACAAGCAGAAAAGGTCAAAAGCTATGTATATATGAACATATAAGATGATGCTAAGTGAAATGAACCCCAAGATAGGGATGCAAGAGGTTTTTTTCCTTTGGCACTGTTGTTTTTATTGTACTACTTTTTTTTTTTATTTTTTTGTATGTTCTTCCTCAACGGTATAACGCCAGTTGTCACTGTATTTCTTTCTGTCCCTGCATCTTGTCTATGCATTTTTCTTATTTGGGGAGGGGAAGGAAAATAAAAAAATACTGAAACAAGGATACAGGTTGACCCACTGTAACAATGAGACATACAAGACACCATGTTAGAAATGAATTTCACAACTTGGGGTGGGGAGGGAGTAGTTGGGGAGGTGGGGAGGTAGGGGATGGTAGGGTAAAACCAAAGGATGGGGTAACAATGCTCAATAGGACATGTACTCATAGTTACTCATGTAACTGTAACTCCTCTGTACAGTATCTTTACAATAAAAAATATTTTTAAAAGGTGTCTGTTAATAGTGGCATTTGTTAAGAATAGATACTAGAATAAAATGTCTGCTTTTTTGAGTCATTTTCTGTCTTAACTGGAATTTAGTTCTCAAAAATTGTTCAGTTCTTTAAGAATTATTGAGGTTTAATGCAATTTCAATAAAAATTTTGGTGAGTTTTTTGCAAAATTCTTGAAAAATAATTATTATAAAAGAACAGCATAGTGAAACCATATAAGAATATTAGTTTAAAGAAGAGTAACAAGTAACTTTACCCAACCATATTTTTAAAAGATTTTAAAGCTAGGGACTGGGAAAATGGCTCAGTGGTAGAGTGCTTGCCTTGCATGCATGAGGCCCTGGGTTCGATTCCTCAGCACCACATAAACAGAAAAGGTTGGAAGTGGTGCTGTGGCTCAAGTGATAGAGTGCTAGCCTTGAGCTGAAGAGCTAAGGGACAGTGTCCAGGCCCAGAGTTCAAGCCTCATGACCAGCAAAAAAAAAAAAAAAAGATTTTAAAGCTAAAACATTTAAAATGTTTCATATCTATTATGACAGGAGAAAATAGAATGTTGCTTAATATATAATAAAGTTATATCACACTAGCAGAGAAAACAGTAAATGTTAAAAGCTATCATGAGAAAAAATGGATAGATTTTTCTGATCTTACAGTGAAATATTACTCATAGCAGAAAGAGTCAAGAAAAAACAGTCTCAAATTTTGAGACAGGAAAGGAACTAATCCTAAATTGATATAATTAGTCATTAATTGGAAGCTAGCTGAGACTGAGCTTTGTTTAAAATCTCTTCTTTTGAAGGTGTGGTTTCAGTAATAGAATATTTACCTGCCAAGTGTAACATCCTGAGTTCGAATTCCATAAGTACCAACCCCTACACTCTTATTTATGTTCTATTACACAAACTTGCACAGACTTACAATAAAAACAAATATCAAGGGAAAAGTAGTGAGAAAAAAAATCTACAATGTCTTCTACATAAACTAGCCAAGACTTTTAAAGAAAAAAATTCAGAGCCTCTAGTCTTACAGAGTTTTTTTTTACTCAGACTGCTTTCAAATCATGATCCTCCAAGTCTCAGCCTCCCAAACAGCTAGAATTACAGGTGTGAATCACGAGTGTCAAGCCAAAACTAACCAAGACTTTAAGATAAATCAGTGTTTTAAGATATTTTAATAATAAATCTTTGTTAGGAGTTTTAACTCTGCTAGTAGATTTTTTAAACTTTTTAATAATCTTCATCACTTTAGATTGAAAATAATTATCTAAATCAATAGCTTGGTTCCTAGGCTATTTTCCTACCTGGCTTATGTATTGAATTTGGCTTTCAACTATAGAAAGACATATTTTAGACCATTGCCAACTAGAGTTCAAGAGGTAATTTTAAATGAGATTTTCCCAGGGAGCAAATCAGAATGATGTTATATAGGTACATTTTTTGCAGAACCATTATTCTTCCCTCTAGCAAACACCCATCTTCTCAGGATGGAAATGTTTCTATGATTCCATCACATCTATTCATAAAATCTAATGTAGATTCTAGAAAAAAATCCCTAATTGTTCATGAGTTAGCTCATTCGGAGATGGTGTTAATGACAGGAAATATTAGGATGGGCCTCTGAGTAATCCAATTAGTTCAAGAAGAAAAACCCTCCCATCCTACACAGAGGCATACTTTGCTCATATGATAGATGCCACAGGTGGCAATTCAGGGAATGGAAACAAGTTCTTTAAAACATAAGGATATTAATATTAAATACTTATAACAGAAGATTTTTCAAAAAGGAACTCAGCAATAAACTAATCTAATTTTGGAATTCACTTCTCTGTTGATTACATGAAAACCTAGTAGTATTAGATGATGTTGGATTTGGCCAATAAATATGACCATATAAAATATGTTTACCAAAATGAACTTCAAGAAATGGAAACAAGATGTTTTTTGTTATTTTGCTTTTTTCTCCCTTGTTGCTGGTTTTGATTCATATACCCTTTGTCGTGAATGTGTGTAAGTTTATTGTTTGGGGAAGAGTAAGGGGAAGCATAGAAATCGTGGGAGGAAGGGTGAACAATTGCAGCAGTGCTACTCACTAGACACTAAGTTGAAAATGAGCTATAGAATTTGTGAGGGAGCAGGACCAGGAGGGAAAAAAAACTGGTAGAAAATGAAAGAAGAGGTGACAAAGTTCAAAAAGAAATGTACGCATAACCTGACTTACATAATTGTAACTCCTCTGTACATCACTTTTATAATAACAAATAAATAATTAAAAAGGAAAAAAGAGCAGAGATTTTGAATTTGACTTTGTGAATATGAACAATCCTCAACAATGAGTAGGAATGTGATCAAATAAAAGCTAGTTAACAATGCGGAACAAAAAAAATGCAATAGCAACCCTAAGGCTAAAGATATTTTGGCTTTCATGTATAAAGTTGAATGGGAAAGTCTTATGGTACTAATGTAACAGAGATGGAGATGATGTCAGGAGAATGAAGAGAGGAATTTTACTGAATTGGTTTTTCCAAAACAGAATGGATATAGTCAAAATATTTTGGGTATCTGTATGAACATGCAAAAATGCAATTTGTTGAGATTGGTTTAGAAAAGAGAGAGAGGCATACTAGATCAGAATGTTTACTTCCCAATTCCTGGATCAAAAGTGTCATTATTGTTTCCCAACTTAAGCTCCATTTATTCTATAGCCCAGTTGGCTTTCTGATGTGTTGAACAGCAAAAGAGTGACATTTGCCCCATGCAGAACAGGTGACCGAGCTCCCGGGCAGTAGCAATTGACAATGTAAATGGAAAGAAATGTACTTACGATCAAGTACACATAAAAAGAGTCAGTATTCAATCCCAAGGCTGTCTTTTACTACCATGGGTGGTACTAAATAAACTTTGTGTTAGAAGAGAATTTTCAAAAGATCCAGTGAAGTTTCACATCCTGGAGACTGATTTTTGTGTTTCTAGAACAATTTCTGAGTGAAAACTTGAATTTCTTTAAATTAAAAAGAATTGAAAATGACAAATGGAAGTTTGCTGATGCCAATATATTTCTAAAAGTCAAAATTACAGAAAGAAGTATTGTTTTACACACTGCAGAAAACTACATAGGAGAGAAGAAATAACTTTGGAAAAGATTAGGTGGCTAATCCCTAAAATCCAGAACTATTTATCATCTTCTGCTAGCATAGAAACAATCTCATTGTAAACTTCCTGAGGTGCATTCATAGCCCAGATAAAGTCCAAGTGATTATAAGGAATAATCTCCTTGTGGTAAATGAGATTGGATATTTTAGGAAGTAACATTTCAACATCTCGGGGGTCAGCTAACAAATCCTGGCCTCCATTCCACACTGCAGTTGGCACACTCATGGCAGACACATTGTAGTAAGGAGGTGTGTCCTATAAAACACAAGAGAAAGAAACACACTCTTTAAATCCAATAATGACTCTTTGGGTAGATAGTATACTATTAACTAATGTATTTTTTATAAGCAAGTTCTAACAATGATTGCTCTGAGAATGTCAACATTATCCATAGAGAACAGAGAGAAAAGTGCTTTTCAACCTCTGCCAATGAGATTAGAAATCACTTGGCGATTGGGCTGAAATGACTGACTCAACATACCTAAGATAAGAGCCTAATATCCTGGACTCATAAGTGGGTAATGCTGAACAGAACAGCATGGCTTTGAGCAACAATTGTTACCAACTAAAAACTTAGACCTCAGCTCAAGCTTAAAGTAGGGATTTGATTAAATTCTGTGTAGCTTTTTTTCTACAACTCTGAAATATATCTTCAGAATGCTGAGTCATTTATTTTTGACTTTGTATTGACTTCTCAGTGTTTTAGTGTATAAATCTTTACATAGTTCTGTTTAAGAGCTGCATATTCTTTCTTTCAGTGTGTACATGAATTTATTAAGCATTTCTTTAAGTCTGAGGAAAGGTATACTATTGGCAGTTTCTATTTCTACAAAGCCAGTATTACCCTGGAGATAGTGAGGAGTTTCATAAAGCAGGAAGAGATGCAAGCAAATGACCTGGAAATTTTCCCTCCATCTGGAAAGAATTTTGTTAGTTTTATTTCAGATCACATTTTCAAGCATACTAATTTTCAAAAGAATCCACTTGTTATAGTCATTTTTATCTTATATAGAAGATAAGAGAATATTGTAGAGACTATATATAGTATCGTAGATAGTTATGTAGTCATATCTAGTTATAAATCTTTCCTTTATTTGTACTCCACTGTCCCTTTCCTAGGAGCTAGCAGTGGCTCTTAAATGTCACTAGTTCAGCTAGTTAAAGGGTAATCTGAATTGTTATTGTCTTGAAAGGTGAGTTTATGCCAAGTTAAGTTTATGCCAAGTAACAGCCTACTAAATCCTGAGTAGAGAAATACAGAAATTATTGCTCATATTTTTACTGCCAAGTGAAACCGTAGATTTCAAGATTGAATTTCTTTGTATTACAACAAATGTAAGCTTTTCTCAGTATGGCTGTCTGGAACATAAGATTCCTGACTGTTGAGAAATATTTCTAGTTTTGACCTGCCAGCACATTGTCTTTTTCTTCTGTAAGAAAATGAATTCCTTTCAATGTATTCCTCCAGCTATCAAGAAAGGACAACTTATCATTTGAGACAACCAGAGCCTCCAGCTCTATTTCATGCATGACTAGAATGATGATTCTATCTCCATGTCCTAGTCAAGGTACACTCTGTGCAAGGACAATGGGATGTGAAGCTCTGGGAAATCTCACATCTGGGGGCGTCCTGCTTTAAGAGTAGGTAGAATAAATGTAGCCACTGGAGCATAAGGGCATAGCCATGTAGGAGAACAGGATGTGTCAACATTCCTTTGAGAAACAAATACATGGATTTGTTTCACTTTGATATCTTTGCATTAAGAAATGTGAGGACTAGCAACGTTAAGGTACTCACCTGATTATAGTGTAACATATTCAGATATGGGCTTCCCCAGTCAAAAGCTTGAAATTTTCCAGACCTACCAGCCTAGTGGAGAGAAATTTAAAAAAGACAGAAGGGTAATCAATGTATTCTTGCCATGTGAAAAATAAAATTTAAACATTCCCAGTTTCTTGTTCTCCATTTCAATGTGATAAGTAGTAATTTCAGTTATCAAATTATCTTTCAGATTCCAAAAAAAATTACCAATCGCCTACACAAGGCATTTATAGAAATCCAAGTGCAAGCTGGATACTGATGACTTATGCCTGTAATCCTAGCTACTCAAGAGGCTGAGATCTAAGGATCACAGTTTTCCCCAGGTAGGAAACTCTATGAGATGCTTATCCCCAATAAACTACTCAGAAAAACCCAGAAGCAGCACTGTAGCTCATGTGGTAGAGCACTAATCTTGAGCAAAAAGAAGCTCAGGGACAATGCCTAGGCCCTGTGTTCAAGCCCTGGGAATGCCAAAAAAAAATCCAAGTTCAATTGTGTTTAATATAACTCTTACTACGTACCAAGTTATAAAAATAAAATAATTTCTTTTGTACCAAAGTATTTATTCTCATAAGATTTTTATTTACATGGATTGGTACTTATTTCCATATGGTAACCATGTGTCAGAAAATTACTTACCAGGAGCAGAACGTTTTAAGAATGTGCATTAGGTCAAATGCAAACTAAGTTTTAACAGTAGTGAAGTAATTTTACCTGGGCCCAGTGGAGGATATCTTGAACAGAAGTTCCTGCTGGATTATGTCCTAGATACACATCCATGCGACTCTAGAAATCAAACACATATTCATTTGCATAGTTAGATATATCTCAGCTTCAATAAAACACACAACATCTGAGTTTTCTGATTCAGGTCAAGTTTTCAGAGCAGCTTTTACTGGGAGAATAGAAGTGTATCATTTTAGAATTTGCTCTAAAATATATTTACAAAATATATGGGAAAACTAAAGTATTCAAAATACACACACTTATTCAATTCCTAGACTAGACATTTTTGCTGTATACAAGTCTGCCCAAGTATATGGTTTAGTCCCTTCTACCACAGGAAAAAATAAGTTATGCCAAGGATTTAGATGGTAATGGATGAGTCCTGAGTTTGCTTTCATTATTTCTGCATGCTATTTACTTTAAGGACTATTTTGTTAATAAAAGTGAACAGGAGCTGGGCACTAGTAATTCATGCCTGTAATCCTAGCTACTCAGGAAGATTGCATTTCAAAGCCAGCCAGTTGGTGATACTTTTATCTTGAAAATATCAAAGTGGTAGAGCACTAGTCTTGATTTTAAAAAGCTCAAGGACAGCACCCAGACACTGAGTTCAAGCCCCAGGACCACCATGAACAACAACAACAAAACCAAACAAACAAATGAGTAGGAGACAAAATTGGAATAGACTAATGACTTATGATTTCTTATGAATTCTGAAGCGATTCCTAGTTCTTGTACAGTTCCTTTCCTAAGTGCTGATGAAACAATAATCAAAGGTGTTGCATACAAACCGTGTTAAAGTTCTTGCTGTCAAACCCACACATGATGAACAAGGCATTGCTACAAAGGAGATCCATCATCTCTCGGGAACACACTTCAGTACCAAGAAATTGATAAAAGAAGTTGTGTGGGAGGAACATTTTGTTGCCAAATATAATCTGAAAAATGAAAGCATTTTTAGAGCATTGCAGCAATCATGATGCACAAAAGACTCATTATTGAACCTTGCAGATGTGATTAGACTAACAGCATTTTGGGAGATTTCCAAGTTTTTCCTCATAATTCCCAGAATGAAGTTGTTATATGGAAAGGTAGCCAGACTAAGTGTTTATTACTGATTGCATGAAGAATTGCCCTGGCTTGTAGAAGTAGAAGACAAGGTAAGTTCCAATCAGTTATGGAATAGAGTCATAAAACAACATGACATTCAACATGTACGTTTTCAGCAGTAAACTGTAAAACAATTAGGAGGGGAAACAATGATTCTGAGCTATGCTTTCAGAGAAAAAAAAACTTTAGAAATCTATGCTAATTATTTGGAAGAAGAGATATTTTTTCTTCCTCCATTTTTCCTCCTTATGAAAACATGAAGTAAAACAGCATTTTAGGCTCATTAGAACTATATTAAACATCCTGACCCAAATTTCTGACTCAAGGAAGGCCTAAGAATAATATTTTCTTTTTAATCACTTCCTTATTGTTATTATAAAGCCTAAATAAAAACTTATAGAGATGCCTAGCTGTGTTAAAATATTTATAATAATAGTGCTTAGATATTTTTTCAGCCTTTTCCATCATAGAATTAAAAAATCATGTCAATTATCTAGGTAGCTATTTTGCCTTCATTCCTTGCTTTAATAGCAGAATTGTAGCCTTGACTTACATGTGTCACAGTGTTTGCCCACTAAAGCATCTATGAAGAAGCAAAAATAATCATAGTCAAAGGAAGAAGCAACAATGCTTGATAAGAAATGTACTCATTACCTTGCCCATGTAATTGTAACACCTCTGTGTGGTATTTTCACAATAAAAAAATTAAAAAAAATAATAATCAGAGTCATTGGTAGTCAACAGAAATGTAATCAAGAGCAAAGAAATAAATGGTGATCTCATAAGCTAATGACTATTTACACCTCAGTACTATGAAAGAAGTAATATACACATGTACAGTTACAGTTTTGGAGATAGATTATAGATGTATTTGTCCAGTATGGGTTTTTTTGTTCTTTTTCCATCACATTTGAAATCCATGGGCAATTGGACACCTCAGATTCAATTAATAAAAGAGAATTACAGGAAGTAGTACTGAAGAGCTCAAAAGAGAATGACATACCTTGAAGAGAAATGTAGGAACAAATGAAAGTTTTTTTAAAAGGCTTGTCGTATACTTCACAGTGGCAACAGGAGCTAATGCATAAAAGGTTTTGATTCTTTTAGCCACGGAGGGAATGGTAGAAAAGGCAATAAAACCTGGACAAGAACATGAAACAGAGAAAAAATGGAGTGTGTTGTTTTGTTGTTATGAACATGCTATTATCTGGGACTTACTAAAGGTGGTATCTGTGACAAGCTATAAAATGGATACTTGTGCTAGCTCAGATATTCATAATCATGGTGATGGCAATTTAATACCATCCACTATAAGAAAAAGAACTGAAATATTCAACATTCATATAAAACTAAAGATAGTTGTTGGGGCTAGTTGGAGTCGGGACAAGCCAATTTGTTCATTTCAATAGATCCTAAGGAAACTGTTGCATTGAGCTTTAATGCAATAAATATACAGCTCATATTCTTCAAGGATTGATAGTTTTCACCCAACAAATGCTTATACTTTGTAAAGGTTGGGGGATTAACTTTTAGTAAACTTGAAAATGTCCCCACTTTAAAACAGAGGATTTGGGCGGGGGGGTTAGTTGTGGGGCTTGAACTCTGGACCTGGGTGCTGTCTCTGAGCTCTTCAGCTCAAGGCTAGCACTCTACCACTTAAGCCACATCACCACATCCAGATTTCTAGTGGTTAATTGCAGATAAGAGTCTCACAGACATTCCTAACCTGGCTGGCTTTGAACCACGATCCTCAGATCTCAGCCTCCTGAGTAGTTAGGATTACAGTTCTGAGCCACTGGTGCCTGGTGTAACAAAGGAGTTTTGAGTTGGTGTTGCCTATGTTACTGGAGCAGTGACATCTTCTATTTATGGACAAGCCAGATGTCCTGCATCATAAGATTGGTTAATTAAGCAGACTATTTCATTTCAGAATTTGTAAGGTGCTGACTTCATAGTCAGATATTCTCAGGGGATATTGGTGCCACCTTATTCACCCTCCCTGTAATAAGTCCATGATACCTTCCACAAATTCCTTATTTCCTTACTTTGTTCACCCATCTGCAACAATTGTCTCTTTATCACTGGGATGTCATAGGCACTAGGTTTTATAATAAATGTGAAGCATTTTATATGATAATGCAGCTATAACCTGCCTTCTCTCAGCATCTTTGCTTACCAATGGTGGTGCCCTGAGAATGTCCAACATAGTGAATCTTCTCCTGACCAGTTTTCTGAACAATAAAGTCTATTGTAGCAGGAAGGTCATATTTTGCCATTTGATCAAAGCTGTAAGAAATAAAAAGTAAAACTGAATGTACTATTATAATTTTTTTGCTGTGGTTTCAGAGATTCAAGCATACTCATTGATACGACCCTTTCTATTTGAGAAATAGAAAACTGAGTTATCTGAACATTGTGGCTTATAAACTCTAAATGACTGGCAAGTGACCTTGGAGGTGGGTCCTTGTAAACCACTGACATCATTTCAGAATGATGTATTACAGCTGCAGCCTAACCCAAACAAGATGATATCTAAGTGGGAATTATTTCCATCTCTCAAATGGAATGCCAGCTAGAGGAGACATTTGCATTCTGTGTTTTGGTGCCCTCTATGATGAGTTCTATCCCTCTCTGCTTTATTCTCCAAAAGTACATCAGAATTACCTTCTGAATATGAACTTCCTTCCTCCCAGTTTAACTCTTATCAGTGGCTCCTCAAAGTACTTTGAATCATCTCCATGGCCTTTTTTCCTCAGCCCTACACCTGGCAGGAGCTGTTCTTGTCAGTACATTGTCTCCTTTTATGCCTCTCCCTTTTTCTCCAACCACTCAAGACATCTGGTTTGCCTCAGTTCCAGCAGGCAGTATTCAAATTCTCCTCTTTTCTCTACCTCCAGGCACAAGAAAATGGGTGCTAAGAAACCTTTGCTAAGCTCTCCATGCTGTCTGGATTTTTTTTTACATTTCTTTTATTGTGAAAATACCGTACAGAGGGGTTACAATTACATGGGGAAGGTAATGAGTACATTTCTTATCAAGCATTGTTGCCTCCTCCTTTATTTGCCCTTCCCATCCCTCCCCACCTCAGCCCCCCCTTTCCAGGAGCCAAAGTTGCAAAGTTCATTTTTTTCATGTTGATGGTAACTGCTCTGCCATTTCCAGCTATGTTTTAACATTTTTTTGAACTCATGGATGCTGTCTTTGGAACTTTTTAGGGACAATCTATTTCTTTGCATCCGCCAATTGTTCATTCCAATTGGAAAAAAATACCGCTATATCATGGTTACTGAGATCACAGAAAATATCTTTAAAATAACAACAACAACAACAGCCTACCAATCTACTCTTACAATGAGGTGTATGGTAGACTTCAAGAAGGGATTAGAATACCCTCTAATATTTTTTTAAAGCCTCCAAACGTATTTATACTTATTTGCAGTGCTAGGGTTTAAACTCCGAGCCTGGTGCTCCTTATGCAGGTACTTTACCACTAAATCAGGCCTCCATCACTTTTTTTAACAGATCAATTTTTTAGGTAGAATCTTGCTTCCTGCTGGGGATGAAGAGGTAACTTGGACTGTAATTCACCTGCTTTGTGCTTTTTAAGTGGTCAGTATGACAGGGATGAACAATTATGCTTCTCTCTCCATTGAAAAAACATCTTGTAAACTTTTTGCCTGAGCTGGACTGAAACCATGATTCTCCTAATTTCAGTCTCCTAAGTAGCTAGAATTAAAGGAAAGAGCTACAAGGGCCTAGCCCAATGTTCATATTTTATTATGTCTGTTTTTACCTGAAAGCCCAGAATTCAACTGTGTCTGGTGAGAAGTACAAATTTCTCCGGGACCATGTGTTTCCTCGGCTATTTCCCAGCCACACATCATAACCAGCATCTGCCAGGATGAAGGCCAGGCTGTTGTTGGGCAGATTTGCAATCCAGTTTGTGGCTGATGCGAGCAAACCATGCTGTAAAAACACCACAGGTCTCTTTCCTAAAAAATAAAATTATTTTAAAAAGTCATAAGCCTATTGTTTAAAAGTCATAAGCCTATTGTTTATACTAAGATACACATATAAGTAGAATTAAATACATTTGCATGATGGAGTTGAATATATTTGACAATCTTATCTTAGTTCTCTGTTCTCAGTTGATTGCCTTCTTAGGTGCCAAAACTTACTGAAATTATATACCTTAAAGATGTCCAGTTTACTGTATGTCAACTATATGCCAATAAAGCTATTAAATTGTATTTAAGTAAATTCAGCACTATGTTAACATAGATGGACTCTGAATGATAAAATTGTAAGTAGTTCTCTAAACTTTTGATTCTTTTCATACTTCATAGTTTTTGTACAATTAGAAAATGATTAAAAAAATTTATTAGTGCTAGCAGAAATGGAGCTTCCTCTCTTTGGGAAATGTGTCTCAGATGTCTCCTTGATTTCCCCTTTTGTAACACTTGGCTAACTTTTTTGACCCACTGAATCTAGCGCAGTTGCTGTGTGCAAAAGCAAAGTTCTTTAGCAAAGATTGGTGCTTTTATCATGATCTCCAGTTTAATGGCCTTTAAATAATAATCACCTAGTTTATCAAATTTTATTAACATTGTATGTTTTATTGCTCTCTCTCTCACTGACATGATGGTGATCGCCTTGTAGACTAGAACTATGACTTCGTTACATTTTTCAGAATGAGCAAGAGGTATCCAATTCTTTGGAATAAATGAAAGAAAGAAGCATAGGAGAGACATGGCAGTAATAAAGGGGAGAGGGATGAAGTTATACCTTTATCCTCTGCATTTTTCTTCCCATAAGGAATTCTGTAGATGCCGAGGATATAACCATCTTCAGTCACAACATCATAATTTTCACTTGGATATCCCCAGAAGGAGATCATCTGACTCTGAGAAGGTAAGTCCCAAGTGACAAATTTTAGTCATGTTATTTTTACAAAGGAAGTGTTTTTATGTACATGTTGATTTTAGCTATTTTATTAAAAAGTTTTTTCAGCTAGGTATTGACTTTTGCTATCAGGCTGTTACTGTTCCGCCCCCTGCAGAATAGCACTTACTGAATTGTTCTTCATCATAGCCTATTGGTTCCCCTGGGAGACCTACTAAACTACTTCTTACCTGTCATGATATAGAAGAAACCAGATCTGCTTTTGCTTCTACTGGATCCTCAAAATTCTGAAAACGTTTTATCTTTACTATTTTATGTTATTTTCTCTGAAGTTTTCTTTGTCTTGTATGAACCATCAACTCTATGAAGTTAATGCTCACTTAGGACCTTAAAGATGGCGCTGCTAAGAGATATCTCAAAACTAACCTGGTGGGTATCGTTTATGATACTGTACAACCCACGGTGAGCTTATATACCAGTGCAAAAATAAATTCTAGCCACAAGGTTATAATTGTTAGAGCACAAACATATGCCTCCCATAAAGAATTAGACTATGTTGCCTAAATGCTACATATCAAGCCCTTCATTGTTTTGTTTTGGTTTTTTGTCCGTGTGGGGCTTGAACTCTGGGCATTGGCTCTGTCCCTCAGCTTTTCAGCTTATGGCTAGCACTCTACCACTTGAGCCACAGCACCACTTCTGGCTTTTTCTGGTAGTTAATTGGAGCTAACAGTCTCACCGACATTTCTGCATGGGCTTCCTTGAAACATGATCCTCAGATTTCAGCTTCCTAGGTAGCTAGAACTAGAGGCATTTACCACCAGCACCCAGCTTCAAGCCGTTCATTCACGTTGTGTGTGAGTGTACATGTGCATGTGTATATGTATGCCAGTCCTGGAGCTTGAATTCAGTGCCTGGGTGCTGCCCCTAAGCTTTTTTCTCAGTTGCACCATATCAGTTGAGTCACATCTCAACTAGCAACTGTTTGGTGGCTAAGTAGAGTTAAGAATCTCACTGACTTCCTTGGCTTCAAACCATGATCCTCAGATCACGAATAGCTGATTAGCTAGGATTACAGGTGTGAGCCACCAGCGCCAACTTCTTTGTTGACTTTTAAAGTGTATTTAGTGAGCAAATACAGTTAAGTATTATTTTTTTTAATCGGTTGTAGGGCTTGAACTCAGCGCCTGAGCTCTGTCTTTGAGCTCTTTTGGCTCAAGTATAGCACTCTACCACTTTGAACTACAGCACCATTTCTGGTTTTCTGCTGGTTAACTGGTGATAAGAGTCTCATGGACTTTCCTTCCTAGGCGGGATTTGAACCACAATCCTCAGATCTCAACCTCCTGGGTAGCTAAAATTACAGGCGTGAGCCACCAGCACCCAGAATTTTAATTGGTCACTTTAAACTTTAAACCCACCATGGTTCTACATCACAGTCCTGTCTGAGTTTTACAGAGTAACTTACAATATTCATATATGCTTCTGGGCTTTCAGGGGCTATTTTACCCAAGAAACCATGTGTAGTTCCAACTACAGATATCAAACTTGTCACTGTTAGAAGTAGCCACATTTCGGAATGGCCTGAAACAAACAAAAAGAATACATGCCATGGTTAACATACTGCATTTTCCTGATACTTATATTTTGTGGAAATTTTAACTGTATGTAGAGAAATGCCTGAACTTGATTCCATTATGTTGGGCATTGTGCATGCTGAGACCAGCAGCTATCTGCAGGCTTATCTTAATGTTTAGCATATTTTCACTGCTTGATTCCTTTTGTTTAAGAGCATTTCTCTGTGGGGTTTTAAATCTTATCAAAGAAAACATAATCTGCAAAAACACTGTCAGGTAACCCTTCACATTCTTATCTCTTAGGTTGGTATCTTGTTTACCCATTTTGACAGTCTAAAGGGGAAGTGAAGATCACATGGGCCTTTGATTTCTCTAGATGCAACCTCAATATAAGGTCCATTTAACCCTATCACAAATTTTTAAAATACCATTTTAAAAAGCTGCTTCATCAAGATTTATTGATTTGAAGTCATTATATGGATTTAAAGGTTGTCATTACTTTATCAAAATGCTACCATATCTAAAGTAACATGTGAACCTAATTTTTAGAAAGTGGTTTCTCTTCTAATTTCCTTTTGGGATGTTATTTGATTACAATTACTTATAAAAGCCTAGAAGATGGTAAATCAGCAATATAGTGCATGATCTGATACTTCTATTTAATAAGGGTTCAATAATAAAACAGAAAATCAAAATCATTTGAAAGAGATCTAAGGAATTTTTTTCAAATTCAATCTTTTCATATTTTTTATGTGAGAAATAGAAGTCCATATCTTCAATAATAATATTCTCAAGTAAACTGAAGTAGTGCTAGTATTTAAGTGACCAGCCTTTTACAAAACCAGCCCTTCAAAATTGTTGCTCAGATGTAAGTTAATTCAGGAGAAAAGCAATATATATCAGCGATAATAATATGCATGTCATAACATGAATTAAAGTTTTTGGTTTTAAAATAACCTAACTAATAAGCTCTATTAGATCTAATCTCTTCATAAAAGGCAAGACGGTTCTAGCTCTTAAGACTTTTCACATTTTCATTAAAACTCCTATTTATAAAATTTCCTTTCCATAGGACTCATACTGTGATTATAATAGTCCCTTGCTTTCTGTGTGGGTATATGTTATACTAAACTCTAAATCTAAAGATACTTTTGTGTTGTAACCACCAACTATTCATTTGAGAATCTTAAGAAGTAAAGCTTTCAAAGTCTCCAACTATTGAAGGAATGCTGTTTTATTTTAAACTGGGGTTTAAAGTCAAAGCTTCTTGTTCATCTTGTTTGTTCAACTGAAGTTCTACCATTTACGCCATGCCTCTAGCCTTGCTTTGTGCTGCTTGCCTCCTTGCCTCCTTCCTTCCTTTCCTACTTCCTTCCTTCCTTCCTTCCTTCCTTCCTTCCTTGCTTCCTTCCTTCCTTCCTTCTTTCCTTCCTTCCTTTCTTCCTTCGTTCCTTCCTGCCTGCCTTCTTGCCTGCCTGCCTGCCTTCCTGCCTGCTTTTTTCTTTCTTTTATCCTTAAACTGCCTTACAACTGTTATTCTCTGGATCTCAGCCAGAATTACATGTGAGGCAATGGTGCCCTGTTGAGTTGTGTTTTTAAATCACTTTTCTATGTGCCTAAATCATTCAATAATTACTTATTAAGAAACTCTTGAATGTTAGGAATAATATTTCGAGATCTCATATAGAAAAATTTAATTGTACAGAGTGAAGAATTTGTAAGATTTATATCACTAAATATCATTGAGACTCTTTGAAGAGGATTATGTTTTTATTTGCCAGTGATATTTCAAAATCATTTATCTGTAAATCTTATAGAACATTTAATATAGATCCTGATTTATACTAAAACCAGCCTACAACTCTTAAAGTCTACATCTGATAATCTGTGTTAAAGTTTTGGTTGATTAATTAGAATTAGTAGTGTCTTTACAAAATTATGTTTTATTAAACCTTGTCTTTGTAGTGAAATTTTAGGAAAGGACAAGTTATATATAAAGATGAATCATCAGAGTTCCAGCTGGAAAGCCTTGATCAGAATTTCCAGGACCTCGCAATTTTTTTATTCTATATAATTTCCGTAAGTAATTTGTCATTGAAAAGTGAGGGTACTTAAACTATGGCGTGATTTATGGGACACCCCAATAATTAAAGTCAATAACATGGGCTCAGATAGGTTCTGGACAGGGTAAATTCCTAAAATACCTGATTATAAGTTCTAGTATAATAGCAGGAGCAAATATTCTCAGAGGATCACTGTATGTTGGGTAGTATACACAGCATGTGAGACATGCAAATGAGTTCTTACTGATCTTACTGAAATAGCTTCCTTTTCTATACAATAACAGTAATCCTACAAGATGATATTACAAGTATTCATTATGATTAAGCTTTTAACAGAGTAGTGAATATCGAGTAACAATGAATATAGATATTACTATCATATCATTTAATTCTTGCAACAATTCTACTAAGTAGATGACATCATATTCCAAACTTTGAAGATGAGCAAAGACAGGCCTAATAAATATATATAAAGCATACAACCTTTATTTGAAACTAGGTTGTCTAGTACTAACATTTATAGTTTTCTTTCAAGAATATAGTCCTCCTCTTGCCTCTGCCTACTTAAAAGCTGGGATTACAGACCAAAAACATCAAGCCCGGCCTTAAAAATATTATCAGTAGCTGGGTTCTGGTGGCTCCTAGCTCTCAGGAGGTTGAGATCTGATGATCACTCATTGAAGGCAGCCTGGGCTCAAAAGTTCATGAGACCCTTACCTCCAATTAACCCCTAAAAGGCTGGAAATGGGGATGTGACTCAATTAGTAGGACACTAGTCTTGAGCAAAAAACTCAGGGATAGAGCCCAGCAGGACCAGCCAGCTCACACACACACACACACACACACACACACACACACACACACACACACACACACATACAGACACACACAAATGTTACTAGTAAAAGTTAATTAAATCTCAATTGGTTTGAATAATATTGAATTATCCATATCACAATGCATGACAAAATAGAGCTGTGGCTATTGCTTCTCCAAAGGGAAAATAAGAAAGTATGCACTCATTACATTAATAATCATATTTGTCAGCCAACAATGAAGAATTTCAAGTATATACAAAAAGAAACAAAAAAATCAAATTCTAGAGAAATAAAACTGTAAAGCAGATAGGTATATTTACAGACAAAATTATGTAACAATATCTTGGCCTTTAAAATGCAACAGTTGGTTAAAGAAAGAAAACATGAATCTAAGCATTCGAATAATTTTGTTCAGCACAAAGTTTACTTACGGGCTCTTCAGAAACAGGAAAATGTTTCTCTAGATGCTTATTTTGGTAATGGTGCATTTACTGCTTATATACAAAATCTTCAACAATGGCCAGACTTATTTATCCTCTGATAAAATTAACAGAGACTCTTAATATCAAGGACATCATTTCATGTTAAAAGGCCAACCTAAAAAGCAAATACTGGCCCTTAAAAATTCAAATATTGGACAAAGGAGCTTTAATCATTAAAATGGTTTAGGAAACATTAAGATAATTTTTGATTGCTTAAATATATAAAAACTAAGGTGCCAAAGGTACAGGACAAATGATCATATCATTTGGCTCAGATAAAAAGGATTAAGATGGTAAGGCTCTACCTCTTGTTCTTTAGAAATGTTATTGTGAAGAGATGGTTAGATTAGTAAATGTGTTCAGCCAAGCATAATGTTTTATTATGGCCTTTTATCAGGAGCTTGTCCTGCACACAATGGTCTACTTAATATACTAAACTCAGCCTCTGATCTTTAAGAACACAGTAGTACTTTTTTAAAAAATATAAACTTAAATCATGCTGATTAGATTTTTGAACAATCTGAATGCAATTATGAGTAAATTGTAGAACTAAAGTTTTACTATTTAAAAATATAGCTCATTCTTTAAAATAACCACAAGTACTTATAGCTCCTGAGGAAAGAAAAATAGAATCATATTTTGAGTTGCTAAAATCATTTGTAATTTAATTTTAGATATTCATATTTGCTGTAACTACTTAAATACCTACCGGAAACTGTAAAGAAAAAAAATATTGTTGAAAAGAACAAAATGACAAGCAAAATGACCATCTTTCTCTTAACCTCCCAAATAGATCTAGTAGCAATTACATTGTTCGAATACACTAGAGAATCAGTCTATTAAATAAAAAAGGTATAGAAATCAATCAAAAACAGTGATTAAGGAGAAAAAGACAAGGAGGAAAAAAAAACATAAAATCTTTAGATTCCATTTCTATTCATTTCGATAAACAGAATTTTATAGATCCTATGCACATAGCTATTGAACCTTTGTGATCCTCTCCTAAGAATATCCTTCCTTTGGTCTCACCATGTAAATGCCTAGGGTCCTGTACAATTTATCATGTCCAAGTGTCTTTTACTATCTAGTGTGTTTACTTGAGGATTTATAGGCATATTCTAGTTATAACAATGAGGGAAACAATGCAAATTGTGGGGTTTTTTTGGATCTGGTTTACTTTGTTTAATACATGTTTTATTTTAAAAGTGTGTTTGCTGGTAACTTTATTATGACCTTGTTTGTGATTGCCCAGAAGTGGGATTGCTGGATCAGAGGGGAGCTCTATGTGTAATTTTTTGAGGAATCTCCATACAGCTTTCCAAAGTGGTTGAACAAGTTTACACTCCCACCAACAGTGCAGTAGCATTTCCTTTTGGCCCCTCCAGCATCTGTTGTTATTAAATTTATTGATTATAGCCATTCTAACTAGAGTGAATTCGAATCTCAATGTTGTTTTGATTTGCATTTCTTTTTTTAAAAAAATGTATTTGCTTCCTTCAATTTAAGCAATGGAATGTAAAACTATACCCTATTGGTCTTTTACTGTAACTGAAGTAAATTTGGACTAGGAGTCCAGAATAATGAAAATTCTTAGTCATTGAAAGAGATGTATGGTCCTTATTAAGATATAGTA